CCTCACCTCTCTGGAACGCCTGATTGTGCACAACCAAGAAACAACATTAGCATAGCCATTGTCTCATCTCAGCAGTACTCAGGGACCGTGCGCAGGGGATTACCTGTGCTGGGTCGGCAAGAGTCAAGGTAGCTGAGTAACTGAAGGACCTGAGCAGAAAGCGCAAGGCCCGCTTCACGCGCCTTTTAAAGGGCTGCTGAGGGGAGTGGTCACAAACAATGCAATCCCGTCCCTCTCCGTTGACAGGTGAGCACAGGCAGGCAGGAGCAAACAGGTGGGCGGTGCGGGGGAGTGGCTGAGGATGAAATTAGCATTCTGTTGCTGTTAGGCCCCACCTTCAGGGCAGGGTGGGGGGGGATACAGCCACTTGCCCACTGTCAATGGGTGCTGGCTATGACGGACCGCACCCCGTAACATTCCGCACTTCTCTTGTAATACCTGTCAGTCATGTGTAACATCCAGCCATCGGTTCACTCCCTAATTGGCCTCTGGCTGCAGCAGAGCTGTCTCAAACCCATTGCCAGGAGTCTAATCCATCCGCACTGCACACAAATGCCCTGGTTGTCTTTTAACTAGGCAAGTGTTTTCACTGCTGAAGTAAAGCAAGTAATGGCAGGCATCCTGGGACTGGTTTATGTCAAATATTGCTAACTATAACGCTGTGCCAGCATCGTTGCCTATTCTCATTTTTTTTTTAAGATAAGTAGGAATGAGGAAGTGACAGCGCAGTGGCTCATTGACTTCCATACAACAGGATTCCATACTTGTGCTGGTTTATATCCAATACAAGAGGTAAAGAAATTACAAAAGGTAATACAAGAGGTCTCGCCTGGAATGTGCCCTGGGATCCCGTATGGGCGCCGGTTCTATTCCAGCAGCTCCATTTCCCTTCCAGCTCCCTGCCTGTGGCCTGGGAAAGCAGTTGAGGACGGGCCAAAGCCTTGGGACCCTGCACCTGCGTGGGATACCGGAAGAAGTTCCTGGATCCTGGCTTCGGCTCGGCATAGCGGTCACTTAGGGAGTGAATCATCGGATGGAAGATCTTCCTCTCTGTCTCTCCTCCTCTCTGTACGTCAGACTTTTCCATAAATAAATAAATCTTGACAAAAGAATTCAATGAATATGTCAAACAGGAAATAAATGAAAGTGGACATTCTTAATCATAAATTAAGGATACATTGGAGGAAATTAAGCCATTGCTCCTTACGATCAACATTTTCCGGAGTTGTTAAATGATAGTTACATTTGGTTTCTAAACTTTCACTTGGTCTTAGATTCCTGAGCACAAGCATCTTGGGGTCCTGGCTTATAGCCTCATTTCTCCGGCATCCGCTCTAAGATGGAAGCTGATTCCATTGTGAAGGACTCCCAGGATGTGCAGTTGGACCTCCAGACCTTTTACCAGGGATATGGCTGGCCAGACTCAAAAGACCAAACAGCCAGGTTACATAGAGGCCACAAAGCACAGCCACAATGAGAGCGTACATTCATTTCACAGCTGCACCCACTCTGCCATGCACACAGTAAACAGGCAACTCTTCCATCCCATTCTCACCAAAGTAAAAAGCAGGTCAATTCATACATCGTCATGTCTTTCCCCTTTTTTATGATGTATTTATTTTTACTGGAAAGGCCAATTTACAGAGAGAAGGAGAGACAGAGAAATATCTTCCACATGCTGGTTCACTCCCCAAAGTTGCTTCAGTAACCAGAGCTGAGACAATCCAAACTCAGGAGCCAGGAGCTTCTTTTGGGTCTCCAACATGGGTGCAGGATCCCAAGCTCTGGGCTGTCCTCTGCTGCTTCCCCAGGCCACAAGCAGAAATCTGGAAAGGAAAATGGGACAGTCGGAACATGAACCAGTGTTCACATGGCACCCTCACGCATGCAGGACACGGAGTCACTGAGCCCACATGCCAGGCCTGACCTTATCATTCTACCTTATCTCACTGCAGAAACACAGTCAGAGCATGCCTGCTGCTACAGATTTCTCGCTAAGTCCATGAACGTTTTAGAGCTAAGTATGCCCTTGCTAACATTCTAAAGGATACGTAATGTCTACTTGATCAGAGAGCAGACGCATAAGGAGTTAGCTGGATAGCAGGACAGTTAGAAATGGTTCTGCCCTACTGTGCCATCAGGGATGCCCTCCAAATCCATTGTGCCCCCGAGCAGTGCTTGTTTGTGATGGGGGAAGCCAGGCTACTGGGCAAACAGGTGCCTGTGATAGAAGCCGCACTTGGAAGAGCAGGGCTATGGGAACAGAACCACCCTGGGTGTTAAAGGACTCCTGGGTCAGAACCACAGCACCTATAGGACTGAAACTAAAGAGCCCTTTGCTCTGCCCCGGCTTCCGTGTAAATATTGGGTCAGTGACACTGCAGGTAAAACAATCAATTCCCATTGACATACAATGTCTTTGTTTTACTAGTCTCATAGTCCGAATGCAACGAGGTGATGGGGAGTGACCCCCAAGGAGGCACTGACACAGCCCTTGTTTCTGCTAGTCCCTTATGTAGATAGGCTCGAGATTCACTGCAGCTTTGCAAAAAATTCATCCAGCCCATGCCTTGCTTTGCTCCCCACTCCATGCTCATGTTTGTGTCCAGCCACCTCAGCCCCAGGGGCCAGGACACCTGTCCTGGTTCACTGCCTGCACCCCATTACCTGGCCATCCTCTGCGAATCCATTCACATTTAGTTAAACTGACTTGGTGATGAAAACTATATTCTGATATAAATTACTGAAAACTATCCACATATCCACAGCCCATGTGGGGTGCTAGCAGCAGAGGAAAGCTTAGTCTGCTACACCATGGCACTGGCAGCAAAGTATCATACTTTTATAAGGCAATCCAAGTAATGATTTGGGGATATATCACCAATATGAATCACAACATCAATGAAAATCTGCTATCATTATGGAAATAAACAGTGAACCAAGCCTCGGAGCTAGTGGTTAAGATGACACTTGGAGCAGCTGCATCCCATCCAAGTAACAGTCTGAGCTGACGCTCTGCCCGCTTGCAGCTCACTGCTGAGGAAGACCTGGAGAGGCAACAAGTGAGGGCCCAGCAGATCAGGTCCCCAAAACAACTGGGAGCCCAGGTGTGGCTCTTCACTCAGCCTTGGCTACTTTGAGCATTTGGGGTGTGGGGCAGCACACAGGGGCTCTCTCTCACGTGTCTGTCTCTCAAATAAATCAAACAGGAACCTGGCATAACCGGACACACTTATTTATGAAATTGTATACACAATTCTAGGTAAGAGAGAAATCAGTGTAAGGGTATGAGCAAGGTATAAGGAAAGGAAGCTTCTGCAGCAAGACCTGACGCATCTCCGCAGCCCGTCCTGGGAGCACATCACGCAGGAAGCCCAGCATCTCCCCAGGCCTGACGCAGCTCCGCAGCCCGTCCTGGGAGCACATCACGCGGGAAGCCCAGCATCTCCCCAGGCCTGACGCAGCTCCGCAGCCCGTCCTGGGAGCACATCTCACTCTATGAAGTCCTGCCATACCCCAGTCAGTTTAGGAGTGGTCCAACATTTCTCCTAAACAAGGAACCCTAGCACATGCTGATGGAGCCCGCCCGTCTTCCAACTTCAGATGTTCAAACTGAGCAGACATTGTGTCTCTTCCCGTGCAGTGAACAGAGTGTTTTCTCCGGCGCCAAGCAACAAGCCTAACTATTTCCTCCAGAGACTCTTCCTTACTAACAATGTTCCCCGGGAGCTCCCTCTGCCGTGATGTCCTTGGTCTCTCAGAGAATGGAGACTTGACACTAAGAACTTGAGTTCCAACTCTTAAACCACATTCAGAGTTGTTTTAATTAGCTGGCATGTGATGTGCAAAACAACTTGGACTACACAATGAGGATGTGTTAGTTCAGATCGCATCTTGGGCGCTTGAGAACTGCGACCCTCAATCAGACGTTCACACTTTTAGCTCTCAGTTATGACCATTGATATAATAACACTTAACAGACAAAAAGCATGCTATGTACATGGGAGCCTTTGTGACTCAGTGATGCAAAATAAATGCTTTCAGATCAATGAGCATGCCAAAGCTTGGAATAGATTATTTCTCACTGGGACTTAAAGACTGAATCTGGAATAGTAGATCTGAAGCACCATGCACTGACCTGTGTACAAGACTTCCCATGGGCAGGCTGGGTGGCTCCACAGTCGTCACACCTTGCCGGTCACAGGCAGGTGGCTCCACAGTCGTCTCACATGCTTTGTTTGCAGGCGGGTGGCTCCACAGTCATCCCACCATGCTCTGGTTGCAGGCCGGGTGGCTCCACAGTCATCCCACCATGCTCTGGTTGCAGGCTGGGTGGTTCACAGTCGTCCAACCATGCTGTGATTGCAGGCCGGGTGGCTCCACAGTCGTCCCGCCATGCTCTGATCGCAGGCTGGGTGGCTCCACAGTCATCCCCCATGCTCTGATCGCAGGCTGGGTGGCTCCACAGTCGTCCCACCATGCTCTGGTTGCAGGCTGGGTGGCTCCACAGTCGTCCCGCCTGCTCTGATCGCAGGCTGGGTGGCTCCACAGTCGTCCCGCCATGCTCTGATCGCAGGCTGGGTGGCTCCACAGTCATCACGCCATGCTCTGATCGCAGGCTGGGTGGCTCCACAGTCGTCCCACCATGCTCTGGTCGCAGGCTGGGTGGCTCCACAGTCGTCCGCCATGCTCTGATCGCAGGCTGGGTGGCTCCACAGTCGTCCCGCCATGCTCTGATCGCAGGCTGGGTGGCTCCACAGTCGTCCCACCATGCTCTGATCACAGGCTGGGTGGCTCCACAGTTGTCTCACCATGCTCTGGTCACAGCCTGGGTGGCTCCACAGTCGTCACACCTTGCCCGGTCACAGGCTGGGTGGCTCCACAGTCGTCCCACCATGCTCTGGTTGCAGGCTGGGTGGCTCCACAGTCATCACACCTTGCCCAGTCACAGGCTGGGTGGCTCCACAGTCATCACACCTTGCCGGGTCACAGGCTCCTTGCAGCTGTTCACACTGTCTGTGATGCTCACAGTCTGGTCTTGCAGCAGTCCCTACATCCATCACAGCCTTTGGACTGGGCATTTCATTGAGCAGACTCCTCCTGACAGACACAGGAAAATGTGGAAATTCAAGTTATTATGGCTGCAACCCAAAACTGACATTTCATGAAAACAGGCTGCCTTCATTGACTCAGGCACCGTCAGATTATTTTCATACATCAGTATCTACAAAAACTCAACAGCAGTGGGAGAGGAACACTTCAACATACGCAACTAGGCACCGTGGCCTGATTCTCTATGACAAAAGTTCGTCTTCCTACAGAATCACTACTAAAGTCAATGCTTTTGGAGCAAAGTGTTGTATTTAGATGGCCTTTAAAATGAATGCAAATCCCGTGAACGTGTTTCGAAGCATGAGAACTGGATTATGCTTATTAACAGAAGTTTATCTTTTGAGACAGAAGCCTGCATTGTCCTGCTCACATAATGTCTGGCATTTGGCTCAAGCACTGAATTATCTCTGGGTTTAAAGATATTGTGGTAGTGCTGTCTCTGAAACGATATCTACCTCTCAATCCTTGCAGATTCTGAAAATTTAATTTTGTGTGTAACAGTGTGCCATTTCACATGTACGAATGATATTCTACACTTATTAATTTTTTCGACAGATATTAGTATTGATATTGATCAGCTAAGACAGACAACAGTGACAGGTGCGGTGGCCTAGTGGCTAAAGCCCTCACTTTGAATGCGCCAGGATCCCATGAGAACACAGGTTCTAATCCCGGCAGCTACACTTTCCATCCAGCTCCCTGCTTGTGGCCTGGGTGGGAAGTCTGGCCCAAAGCCTTGGGACCCTGCTCCCTGTAGCAGACCTGCAGGAGGTTCCTGGCTCCTGACTCCAGATCAGCGCAGCACTGGCCGTTGTACTCACTTGGGGAGTGAATCATCACCGGAGGATCTTCCTCTCTGTCTCTCCTCCTCTCTGTATACCTGGCCTTGTAATAAAAATAAAAATAAATATTAAAAAAAAAAGGGAAAATAGTGGTAGTCACAAATAAAAGCTAATGATAACATATTTTTCCTTTATAATCCATAAATTGGCCCCAGCGAGATAGCATAGTGGTTAAGCTCCACGCCTTGCACGCACCAGAATCCCATACGGTCGCCAGTTCTGATCCTAGTGGCCCTGCTTTCCATCCAGCTCCCTGCTTGTGGCCTGGGAAAGCAGTCAAGGATGGCCCAAAGCCTTGGGAAACTGCACCCGCATGGGAGACCTGGAGGAGGTTTCTCTCTCCTGGCTTCAGATCGACACAGCACCGGCCGTTGTGGTCACTAGGGGAGTGAGTCATTGGAGGATCTTCCTCTCTGTCCCTCCTCCTCTCTGCATATCTGACTTTTCAAGAAAACTAAATAAATCTTTAAAAAAAAATCTTTACATCGATATGAAGATGGAAGTTGCAAAATAGACAAATATTGGCACACTCCATCTTCACATGATGGAACAAGTACCAGGAAGTAAGGAATGGGAAAGGGGACTGTCAGGTTTGGGGGGAGGTTTTGCTCCTACCATTACAGACAACGCAGAATGTTGGCTCCCCACTAGATGGCGCCACTGCTGGAACGCGACATTTGCCCTTATCTGCACCAGTGACTTCCTAAGCTGCCTTTCCGGGGTCCACTAAAAGGAGTAAGAGAAGTTGGTGCCAAACTAGTACAAGAAAACAGGACAATCTTTTAACACAGAAGCACTTCTGTTGGTGATGCTAGCTATTACCATGACAACCTCCTCCCGGGCAAGTAATTGTATTTGTTGGACTTACATTCCTCATCCACTGGTTAGCAGACCAGTAACCTGGGTCAACGTCACAGTTCTAGTATAACTTACATTATTTACTTGTGAGATCCTTATGATCTTAGGGGACCTCTTAAGCCTGCAGAGGAGGGGATGATATTAAATGACACTTATCAGACAGGTTCGATGGCATACCCAGCTGCATAGGATATGGGGAACACTGTTTCCATGCATATCCGCAATCATGGCTGATGGCTCTTAACCAGCAGCAAGAAACCGCAGCTGTCTCTATCCAAGCCACTGGATTTTATTGTCATATTCTTAACCAGACTCACTCGAGGCATATGTATATATATATATATATATACATAGATATAGATAGATATATATATATACTTACATATGTGCGGGAAAGCCTTAGTCATGTCATTGGATACATTGAGGATGTGTTGAGGATAGCCGTGTGACAAGTGCACGAGTCACTGTACTCTAAGCCTGCAGCAGGAGGCCCATAGTGATTCCCTTCAAATGGGACTAAGCAGCCCAGCTTCTATCACCTTGCATGCAGCAGGGTGGTCTCCTCCAGCTCCTGAAATCCTTCAGCAGCCTAAACAAAACCATCTGTGGAAATTAGTAACGGCACTCAAAGCACGTGAGATTTGGCAAGGACAGGTTGCTAACCAAAGTGGTTTCTTTCCATTTACCACCAAGAAAAAGCAGGCAGTTCCTATATAGGAATAGATCATCAGGTTTGGCTCCCAGTACTAGGTGTTCTTTCTACCCTTGCTTAAATTCTAGCACTAACATTAATTTGTTTTTCCACACAGTCTTTAAATGTTTTAAGAGTCCATATATGTGGGCCTGGCGGCGTGGCCTAGCGGCTAAAGTCCTTGCCTTGAATGTGCCAGGATCCCACATGGGCGCCGGTTCTAATCCCGACAGCTCCACTTCCCATCCAGTTCCCTGCTTGTGCATCACATCAATCAGAGCAAGCACTTGTATGCAGAGCCCAGCAATTTGGAATTGACCATGTTGTTTTTGGAAGATCAACTACAACCTATCAATCAAAGACTTTCATTAAAGTGTGACTGGGAATATACCCCCTTTTGTGGTATTCCCGTTCGTTGGAATCAATCTTCATTACCTTGGGATAGCACAAGACAGCATTTATGTGCCAGGAAAATGTTTCTGGTCAATAGTTAAAACTGGAATGAGAAATTGGATCCATTCTCAGGGAAGTTACACAAGGTTCCAGGTACCTGGTTTTGAGGAACATATGTTCTCTGTTCCTTTTTACCAATGGCTACTTTACGGGAGAGTAGGAATTATTATTTTGATCATACTTACATAATGCCTTTTTGCATTATATCTGCTTAGTGTGCAAGAATAGACCCAATGATACCAAGCAATGACGTAACATCACTACAGCGTTAATGTGTTTATGCCTTGTAAGTCACAACAAAGAGGAAAGGACAGAATAATTGGCAAGGTGAATGTATTCCTGGAACTCTGGAATCTCCTAAGAAACACCTGCATCCTGTCATGAGAAAAACCCTGATTCTGAAACACCAGGAAGCAAACAGGAGATAGGAATGGTCTCGGGGGTTTTGAGAATTCCCAGGAAGGACAGTTACCTTCGAGGCATCCTGTGTACTGTCTACAGGTGATAGGATTGGAATCCTGGGATTTTGCACTATAAACACTGTTAATTTTTAACTGATCCATATCAGAAAATATCCCCATTATGTATTTACCCAATATCATGTATATATTGATTTTCCCATAGATACTTGCTATTTACAATTCATGCTTACTTTGTTCAATGCACTTGCTGTTCATTCCAAGAGCTGGGCGCCCAACTGGATGTTAAATAAAAATCATTTCACCTTCCTTGGAGTCTCACAAGATTTTTCTTGAACTCTTACAATGCTTGGAAACCATTCACCTGTGAAGGAATTCATAGAACACATAGGAATTAGGAAAAAAACTACTAATACAAGAACTCCATTAAGAACTAAACAAAGAATCTAACCGGGATATTTTCAAATATTAGTGCCAACAAACGTGCAAAACTTATCACTAGTGACCAGGGACATGGTAAAAAACAAATTGGTCATCTCACTTTATCTGGGAAAGATGTTATCAGAATCATTACAGACACACTAGTGGAGCTGTGGGGAGGAGGGAATCCTCATGTGATGGCGATAGAGCTACAAAGAAGCACACCCAGTGAGAGCAGCGTCAGCTTGCTCTAAAAGCTTCAATGCCATCTCCTCTGTGCATAACTGAGAAAGAGGAAAGCAGCCCGGATCCCTGTCCTCCTGGACTCACTGGAGCATCGTGCACAGCAGCCAGGGGAGGGAAGCAAGCCAGGTCTCCATCGACAGGTGAATGGATGAAGGAAAAGGTTACAAATACACGGTGGAATAGTACTCAGTTACAAGAATCAGATCTTAGCATCTGCTGGGAAAGACATGGATCTGGTGATCACTCTGCCCAGGACGCTAAGACAGGTACAAAAAGGCAAATACTGAAGGGTTCCTTTAGTGCATAGGAGGCGTTTTTAGAAGCTCATCAGAAATTACAATGATGATTACTAAAAGTAACTAAGTGTGTTGAGGGAAAGGTGACAGAAGGGCTCTGGATACTGGGGAGAAAATACAGTTAGATCAAAGCGTAGGGGCAGGTATTTACAGTATGAGTTAGGGTGTTACCTGGGTGCCAACACCACATGTTGGAAGTGCCTGGACTTCAATCTAGGCTCAATTCTGGCTTCCTGGTGATGTGCACCTTGGCAGCCAGCAGCTCAAGCAGCTGGGGTCCTGGATGGAGCTGTAGAAGCTGGGCTTCAGCCTGGCACAAACCTGACCATGTGGGCACCTGCACTAAAACAACAGGTGGAATATATCTGTGCATGTGTGTGTGTCTTTCAAGTGAGTAAATTAAAAAGGAAAGTAAACAACAACCTTTCAAATGAGTAAATATAAAAAAGGAAACTGCACTGCACGGGGTTTTCTCTCAGAACAATGCATCACAGCCCCAGACAGATGGTAAGCCTCAAGCAGAAGGAAAGTGACAACAATGCCTCAACTCAGGACTGAACTCTACACCAAGAAATCTCTTCAGCTGCATACATCAACCCAACGTCGATATTAAAAATGAGGTATTCTTTTTAAGAAAAATAGTAAGGGATAAAGGATGCCAGAATTAAAAAAAATAATAAAGATGATAATCTGTCTCAAACACACAGAGGCCGCTGAAGACATCATGGTGTAAATTAACTCATGTGTGTATTGAAAAAGGCACTTGGGCTAGTGTTGTGGTGTAACAGGTCAAGCTGTCACATATGACCACAGTGCCAATTCGAATCCTGGCTTCCTATTTCACTTTTAAGGGATTTCTTTAGTTTTTGAAAGGCAGAGTTACAGAGCAGGACAGCCAGATCTCCTGTCAGCTGATCCACTCCTCTGCAGGAGTGCAGCAGCCAGGGCCCAGCCAGGGCCCAGCCAGGGCCACCCCAGGAACGTGGAGACCATGCAGGTCTCCCACACAGGTGGCTGCAAGCACCTGGGCCTTCTTCTGCTCCTTCCAAAGCGCAAGGATCTTATACAGTCTCCAGTGTTTAGGCTAGTCTACTCCACTTCCCATCCAGCTCCCTGATGTTTGCCTGAAAAAGCTACATAAGATGTCCCGAGTCCTCGGGCCGCTGCATGCATTCCTGGATCCTGCTTTGCCCTGGGTGGCCTTTGTTATTAGGGCCATTTAAGGAGTGAACTAGCACAGGGCAGACTCTCGGCCTCTCCCTCTCTGCCTGTAACTGCTTCTCCAATAAAGTAAAGAACTCGTCACAAGGAAATAAGGACAGAGATGCCCCGCTCCACTGTTCACCCCTGAATGGGTCGTGACGGCTGAGAACAGGGACAGGCAAAAACCAGGAGACTCCAACACGTTCTCCCATGGAGGAGAACCTAAGCACTGGGGCCATCTGCCACAATGTCCCTTTTTCATTAGTAGAGAGAGAGATCAGAAGTGGAACAAGCAGGACTGGAGCTTACACTCACATGGGATTTCAACATTGTAGGCAGGGGCCTAACACACTGCACCACAATCCCAGCTGCTACAGGAAACCCACGGAGATGCTTCAGAACAGATACAGAACAGCTAGAGGAAGTGATGTCATCCTGAGAGATCATAGGTATTTTCAAGTCTGTGCTGGGGAGATGAGAAATGGAAAGAGACTTAAAACCTTCCGTGACAATTTTCAATGCAAGCCAGCACAGCTGGATTATGGAGGAAAAGGGAATAGAAAATATGGGCTTAGAAACAATGTGAAACTCTCCCTGCATTTTGTGAAAAGCCTCATTTACACCTTCAACTTGCTCAAAAACTCAAAAAAAAAAAAAAAACTGTTCAGGACAAATCATGACCAAGTTACCGTAACCTAAACTTGAAGAGAAGATCTTGAATGTGGCCAAAGAAAGAACAGCACAGAGCATAGTAAGGTGCAAGCAGGAATGCATAGCAGCTACTTCCCATCACACATCAGGACACCATCACCCAGGGCCACAATCCCCCTCCTAGAATTCACTGCCCCCGGATCTCCTGTGAACTGGACACTCAGAGCAGGAGTAGGAAGCCAGCAGCCCCATGCAGAAAACAGGACATCACTTACTAAACCAGCACTGCACTTCGCAGAGTCCTCAGGGAACCGGGCAGTGCTGTCGATGTGCTCATCTCCAGCTGGGGCTCTCAGCGCCAGAGCCAGCATGTGGTTTCACACACCTCGCAGTGCACCTCCCCGGGAGCCTGTCACTGCACAGCCAGCACACACGGCCAGCTCGTCCAGGCAGCTCCTTCCCCTTCTGTTCCAGGAGCACATGCCAGTCTCCGGCAGAGTGATCACTGACATCGCGCTGTCTTCCTCACCCTTTCCCAGCCAGAGGATGCAGCGCCATTGTTCTGCAGGTTCCGTCTGCATGGGGTGGCGCCCGCTGAGATGCACCGCTGGGTCTGCACTCACCGCGTGGGGAGCACCACTCCACTCCACTCCGGGGCCTGCAAAGCCCACAGGACTTCTCTCTGTCTCTCATCCAGCTCGCCAGGACGTGAAACCGACTGCACAGCCTGTGGATGATCCCCAGCAGAGACACAGAGCCTGGAATTCAGAGAGGAAATGGCGAGAAAGCACAGGAGACCCTGGAAGGACCCTTCCCAGGCGCTTGCTGATGACGTCATCGGGAGACTACATTTCCCAGGAGGCTCAGCTCTGGTTCCTTAGGAACCTAGTAATGATCTTGCTATCAGGATAGAGACCTAGTGCGTCAGAACTGGTCCTTATCCAGATAGCAGAGACGTGAGAATCCGGTTCTGTGTTGACTCAAATTCTTTTTTTTTATTTTTAAAGATTTATTTCATTTTTATTGGAAAGGCGGATATACAGAGGGGCCCTGTTGACTCAAATTCTGACGAAGTCTGGATTTTGCTAAGGAGTAAAATTTTTATTACTCCTGAAATGCCTGTTCTTCAAGTCCTCGCCTTTAACACGCCAGGATCCCACATGGGCGCCGGTTCTAATTCCAGTAGCTCAATTTTCCATCCAGTTCCCTGCTTGTAGCCATGGAAAGCAGTGCAGACCAAAGCCTTGGGATCCCGCACCCGTGTGGGAGATCTGGAGGAAGTTCCTGGCTTCAGATTGGTTTACCTTTGGCCGTTGCAGTCACTTGGGGAGTGAATTATTGTACATAAGACCTTCTCTCTCTCTCCTCCTCCTCTCGTATATCTGCCTTTGTAATATAAATAAATATTTTAAAAAGATGTTCTCACACAGAAGATTAATTTGTGACTCGGCACTGGATTGAGTTGCATAATGGAGAACAGTGCTTTCGGATGTGTGGTAACGCAAAAGTTAGCATGCCATAATCCATGTGCTATGTAAAAACATTGGACCCCAAAATGCTAAATTCTATGACCGAGAATGGATCGTCTATTGATATTTTTATTGTTGTGGTTCTCTCTGGTGGCCAGTAGGAGGCACCATTTCTCCACAAATCGAGAGTTTCCTAGCTTTGTATCAGTTGAGCCACTTAGAGCTTTAAGTCTATGACCGTGAATCAACAATAAGGCACATTAACAATTGTGGATGTCCATAGGACATGTTCATTGCAACACAATCAATAATTGCAAAAATGTGGAAGTAATCTAGATGTCCATTAGCAGAAGATTGGATACACAAACTGTGCTTCATCTAGGCTATGGAATTCTACTCACCTATTAGAAAGAATGAAATACAACAATTTGAAGGCAAATGGACCAAAATGGGGAGCATTTTTCTTGGGTAAAGAGCAAACTAGAAAAGGTCAGATATCATATGTTTGCTCTAACATGACAGCCACTAAGCATACACAACAGCAGCAACATAGAGGGCAACAAACAAACACGTGAAACCCTACAATGGAAGGATGCAGCAGAGGCCAGACTACCAGGACTCAGGGAAAATCGACCGCATGCATCTCTACTATGGAGTAAAAGTAGGCATACACTTGTTTTTAAGAGATTGTGCCCTGGTCATGCTCAGTGTTAGCATAGCTAGGGGATGTTTTGCTCGTCTTCTCAGGGAATGGCTGTGTCAGTGGGGCGGGGAGGGAACTTGGCATGACGGATGGGAATCCAAGTGCTTATTAAACTGTGTCCTAAAACAAAATTTTACAAGTATCAATTAGAATAAAGATGTTGAAAAGATAACAAAAAATAAATGATTTTTGAGAAAAGTACCAACAGCACGCTTTGGAGAAACACAAGTCATCAATAAATGTTACTGGCAAAAATATATGTCAATATTTAAAATAAAATTAGATTCACACCTCATAAAAATTATCTCAAGCTGGGTCCAAGACCTAAATTCATGTCCTGACACTATGAAATTGTTACAAGAAAATGTAGGGGAGATACTTGAAAACATCAATGAGGGTGGTTGTTTTTTAATGAGACTCCAAAGATCAGGCAACAAAAGCAAAAGTAGGATAGTTAAATTTAATATAAATCAGAAATGTCTGCATAGCCATGGAAACATCAAAAGAGTGATTAGACACATGACAGAATGGGAGAAGATTCTTGCATGCTCCTTAATCAACAATATATTCACATCTACAACAAGAGAAGCATTTAATAAAGAAATGGAACAAGAAACTGAATAGACAATTCTCAATATTACAAATGGAAATGGACAACAAATATAAGGGGAAAATGCTTAACATAACTAGCTATGAAAATGCATTTTGCAACCCCAAAGAGACACTGTGCACAATAGGCTAAGCCAGTATGGGTGCTGGTTCAAGGACCTGACAGCTCCCTTCCAATCCAGCTTTCTACCAATAGCTTGGGAAGCACCAGAAGATGGTTCAAGTGCTTGGGTCCCTGCACCCACTAGGGAGACCCCAAGTTCTTCATCACTGGCTTTGGATCAGCTAATCTTTGGCTGTTGTGATCTTTTGGGGAGGGGACCAGTAGCTGAAAGATATTCTCTCTCTCACTCTCTTTTCAAATAAATCTGTTTTTCTATAAAAATTTAATCTTTTTTAAAAAATGATGAAGATATATCACTTCAACACAATCTAAATAGCTCTTACCCTCAAAAGAGCAACACACACCAGCAAGGATGTGGTGAAGGGCAACTTCAACACACCATTGGCTTGTTGTCTGTGAGTGTGGAAACTATGGGAAATAGTGTGGAGACTTCCTTAATGGCTAGGGATACAAGTGTCGTATGATCTAGCAGTCCTAGTACCAGATATAGACCCAAAAGTCATAAATCCATTGCCTCAAAAACATACCTCATTCATTGTGTTAATGTACATTAAAATAATCATTTATTCCATAGGCATGGTTACAGAGAGAGAAAGAGAGAGACAGAGAGGTCTTTGATCCAGTGGTGCACAGCCCAGCAGGCTGCAATGGCTGGGGCTGGGCTAAGCCAGGAGCTGCGTCTGTGTCTCCTATGTGGTGGCAGGGGTACAGGATGCATATCACCCTGTATTATCTTCCCAAGTAAAGTAGCAGGGGACTGAACTGGAAGTGAGGTCTCTGGGACCTGACCCAGTGCTTGCCTGGGATGTTGGCCCTGCAGAGTAGCTCAACCTGGTGCACCTCAGTTCCAGCCCCAGCATTAGGTTTATGGCAGCACTGTTGTTCACAATAGCCCAAACATAGACTCTGCCATCCCTGGATGAGTGGAGCCTTGCACCCCTGTCTGCCGGCAGCCATCAGGTAAGCCAGGCTGGGTGCCTATGAGTGCAACCAGGTACAGAGTGCCATGCGCCACTGGGCTGCAGACTGGGATACATGGCCAGGCAGGGTTATACCATATATAAGATTCCTGTGCAGCATCATGTCCACAAGCGCACAGTTCCTAAGCATATCATGCCGTGAACCAGCCAAGTGCACAAAGCCTTCAGTCTGCTGCCAGGGGGTGAGTCAGGCACCTCGATGGAGCTCCAAGGACCCACGTTCATTCTAATTCATGCTCCTGTTTCTGGTGATGCATGCCATTGATAATCTGGCTAAAGCTGCATTGGAACTAGATTGCTTTAGATAGTACAGACATTTTAATATTATTAATTCTTCTATTCCACAAGAAAGGAAGAACTTGGTAAGAATTGTGTGTCTTTCATGATTTCTTTGCCTCCTTCCATATCTGGAATTCATCTTATCTCACTTTACTATGACATTGGCCCCAAGTACTTTTGGCTTTAACACAATGGCCTCCTACGTATTAAATCAACTCCTTACCTCCCTAGAGAGCTGTACAATCATGAAGACTACATAAAGCATGATGCTCGTACAGCTCTTTAGGGAGGCAAGGAGTTGATAAAGTGTAGCTTTGTGAAAGTTCTTACACTGTAGAACGCTTACTTCTCTGAGCAGGAGAACATTTTTTGCTGTGTAACTGCAGTCTTCAGAGTGCAACAGATTTTAGCATACAGAAGCACTGTCTGAAGAGTTTCTGGCAGATGTTTTGTTTGAGCAAAAAGAGCACATGTTTCAGAGAAACATCTTCCAGACTGTGACCTTACGCTTTTTAATCTTTTCAAGATGCACATGTGAGATGCTGGCATGGTGATTGGATGGGCAACTTGCTGCTTATCACACTGGCATCCCTTATGTACCTAGGTTCAAGTCTAGGGTGCCCCATTTTGACTCAATTCCCTTCCAGAGCATCTTGGAATACAGCAGGAGTCACAGAGACAGGAGAGAGTGAGAGAGAAAAAGGGAGAGAGGCAGAGAGAGCTCCCCTCTGCTGATTCACTCTCCAGATGGCTGCAATATGACCAAGCGCTTGCACCATCTTCTGCTGCCTTTCCCATGCCCTGAGCAGGGAGCTAGATCTAAACTAGAGCAGCTGACAATTTGGCCCATGTAGGATGCTGGTGTCACAGGTGATGGCTTTAACCACTGTTCCACCACAGCAACCCCATCACGTGTACTGCTCTAAGAATTTAAGGATACTTAACACCATACCCTTCGTTCCCACCTCGTTTCCACTTTCTCTCCTCCTTTCCTTACTTTTTGAGATAGTTTCAGCTTGATTTGGAAGACAGATTTTAAACTAAGAGCCAGAGTTGTGCTCAACTGGAGCTGGGAGACAGAAGCTTCTTACAGTTCTACCACATGGGGGCACCATCCTCCACTGCTTTCCCAGGATCATTAGCAGTGAGTTGAATTGTAAGTGGAACAACCATATCTCAATCCTGTGTCAAGGGTTCCAGCACTGCGGTTATCCAACTAAACCACAGTGCCAGCCCCAATATTTTCTTTATGTAGTCTTCATTTGCTTTTAAGATGTATTTGTTTTTATGGAATGTCAGATATACGAAGAGCAGGAAAGATGGAGAAGAAGATCTTCTGTCTGCTTCTTCATTTCCAAAGTGGCCAAAATGGCTGGAGCTGAGCTGATCTAAAGCCCAGAGCCTGGAGCTTCTTCTAGGTCTCCCATGTGGGCGCAGAATCCAGGGCTTTGAACCATCCTAGGTTGCTTTCCCAAGCTACAGGCAGGGAGCTGGAAGGAAAGTGGGGCCACTGGGATACAAACTGGAGCCATATGGGATTCTGACACATCCAAGATGAGGACTTCATCTAAAAGGCGACCACGGGCCCTTTAGCCCATGTCGTAACTGGATTGCTGCTTTGGTGTTGCTGAGTTTCTTGAGTACCTCACTAACAACACACTGAC